TGAGACTGCTATTTCAACAAATACAACCGGTTTTGGTAGATAAATATGAGTCCACTTCTATGGAAAGTACTTCATCAAATAAAAAAAAGAATTATAAAATAGCAATTATGACCTTAATCTGTAATATGTTAAACAACAAAATGGTGAATTGTGCTCAAAATATTTTGAAAAATTATAAAGTCTGCAAGTGTGTACTTACGGGTAGAGTTAAGATTTTATGTTGCTACTTTGTTAACATGTATATGCTGGAAGCTATAATACAATTTGGGGAAAAATGGGTTGTGATTTTTATGGTGATTTAGTAGATTGAAAATTAGATTCTGGCCTTCTTTGCAATCAGAAGGGACTAATATGACATCCATAAGCGAAACTCATAAACACGGAATTTCCCTCCAGAGCCAAAAAGATGAGCTATTTTCAAGATACACCAGGGTACCCTAAGAAGTCGGAACATTATAAGCGCTCATAATTGAGGCAATCAGAAGTCAGTAAAAGCAGGGAGTCAAAAAGTTGATACATCATGTTTCAAACATATTTCAATTTCAGTCACATAAATAAAGGTGAATCATTCACTAATTTTTGCATGTCTCCTGATGGTTTCAGTTCTGTGTTGCCTTTCTTGGTTAAACTACGGCCAGATTTCCTCCTTCCATTTCTTAAATGCATTTGTACCTTAAAGGCACTTGTGAAAAAACCTGAGGGTAAAAATCTCTCTAGTGTTTTTTTTTTACTATAGTTTTCTAATCTTTTATAAAAGCAAACTATTCCATACCTGCAGAGTAGCAGTTTGTTGATTTTTTAAAAATTTAACCTCCTAAAGTATATAATTCAGATGTTATAAAACCAACACCACTAATTCCAGAATCCAGCCATCACCCCAAAAAGAAATCTTGTACCTATTACCATTCACTCTCAATTCCCTCTACCCTATACCCTGGCAACCACAAATGTACATTTCTTCTCTGTATATTTACCTATTGTGGATATCTCCTACAAGCAGAATCACAATTTGTGGTCTTTTGTATCTACTTTCTTTCACTCATCATAATGTGTTCATGGTTCATCCAGGTTGTAGCCGTTTATATTGTTTTTTAATGTGGCTTATTTTTACAAATCTCTGTGGCAATCAAGTTTTCACAGAAGCAGCATCCCTTTTTGGCACTCCCATTATATGTTTGTTTAATATTTAATTAAATTACAAACTTACAGTAGCAAGTATTATTAAAATAAACAAGACTGTGACCAAACACCACTGTAAGCGTGAACCTGAGCTGATAAAAGCAAAGTACACCAGTTTATTATGATGACAGTTATTTGCCACAGTGGCCTCTGCGTTCTGAGCAACAATAGGTTCCTTTTTCAGAGGGAAGGGAGAGCAATAGTTAACCCCATCAGATGCATTAGTGTTGATGGGTACTCCATTACCTAGGATGAAATGGTGTGTATGAGAGGTATAGAGATGATCTGTGTCTATTAGACAACACAACATAACTTCAACTATCCCAAAAGGAAGTCTTCCATATGTCTAAGTCTTCAAAAGAAGCAAAGATGGGCTCCCATAGAGATAGGTTACCCTGCTGCCTCAATAAAAACTTTACCATCCTACTTACCTTTTAAGGATCAGCTCAAACATGTCCTCCTCCTAAGCCTCGACTCCTTATAGTGCCTACCTGCTCGCTCTCCTTCCTTTCAATTTCTAAAGTAATCTATCTCTTATTCTAGTTATAACTGGTATTCTGTAGCTAGTTGTTGTTGTTTTATTCTCTAAGTTGTGTCTGATTCTTTCGTGACCCCATGGGCTGTAGCCCACCAGGCTCCTCTGTCCATGGGATCTCCCAGGGAACAATACTGGAGTAGGTTGCCATGCATTCTTCCAGGGAATCTTCCTGACCCAGGGATCAAACCTGAGTCTCCTACATTGGCAGGAGGATTCTCTACCACCGAGGCATCAGGGAAGCCACAGAGCTAGTTACACAATGTCTTTTTTCCATATGAGAACATAGACTGCTTCAGAGGCAAGTAGCATGTTTTTATATTCCCTACAACCACCGGCACAGGAGACGGGGGATGCAGGACACAACCTTTGAACAAATCTGTAATAAGAAGTTCAATAAACATTTGTAAAGTAAATAATGAAGGAGTACATTGATTGAATAATTAATTAAAGGTGTGTAACTTAATACCCGGCTACAGAGCAACACATCTCTTTCTTCGTGTGCAGTACGTGGGGTGGTGGGGGGAAGGGAAGACTCTGACGGGGGCACAGTGGTAGGCAAAGGAAGAAAAGCAACCGCCCCTGGGCACCTAGCATCTGCCAGGCGTCATGACTCTCCTCCGAGTGTTTAACAGAGATCACTTTCAAATAGGACGTTGTTAGATAATGACACTTTCTGAGGTCTTTTGATGCAGAACAAATTAGAAACAGAGACAAAAATCTTTGTACTCAAAACCTCCCAACGTATTCAAGTGTGGATTTAGTTTTTCTAAATTAAACTATCATACAACTTGAATGGGTTTTTAGATATCGTAGAAAGGGACTCAGAAGAACATTGCTTCCAAATTGTTGTTTTTTAAAAGCAAAGTCATTGGTTAGGTAAGGAATGCATAAACAACCCCCAAAGCTGTATTGAATACTTTTTTTTGGCTATATATGACTGAAAAACTGCCAACTTCATTTTGATAAGCCTTTGTTAAAAACAATAAACATGCCTGAGCTTGCAAACCATGCCATTCTGAAGAAAAAGCAATTGAGAAGATCAGGACATGCTTAAAATGGCAATGTCTGATTAACAAGAAAAACCTCTGTGGTAACAGATTTAGCAATAAGTCACAACACTGTGCTGCCCATTAACATGGAGGGGAGCAGGGGACGATGCAAACTGAGACAAAATCAAAGCACAACGCTTACCTTCATAAATAAATAAGAAGCTACATCTTAAAACTAATACAATTATAGTCCACAACGCTGACATCAGGGCACCAACATCATTGAGAAAACTAATCCTCTCATGCTTCATTAAGTTTAATGTCACCACCGTGATGTCCTTGCACTAAAGGAAGTGTCATTTCAGGGACTCTGAATGAACAGACATAAAGTAACCAAGTGTGGGAATTTCTATTTATGTAGAGTTCATGTACATCAGTTCATAAAAATCAAAGTAACTTTACCTGAATTTGTTTCTGTATTTTTCACACTGCCTATAAAATCAGCAGAATTATGGGATTGGAAGGAAGATAATTTGGAATACTTGTGTTCATTTCCCTACTTTAAGGGCTTCCCTGGTGGTTCAGTGGTAAAGAATTGCACAGTTATAGGTTATCGTGTTAATCACAACACACAAATTGTCCTCATATAAGCCACTTTTCCCAAGCCAGCTCCAAAGTCACAAATCACACTCTGAATTCTAACCAATGATCAGCCCAGGAAGGTAAGAACCCAAAGAGACTCCAAATATAGATGAGGATAAATTTTATCCATCTGTAGTTTTGATTACTTTTCTTCTCCTGGCAGTTCACCTGTAATGTATCTCCATATTCATCTTCATATTATTATTTAAATACATGCATTTTAAGATGTATTACTTAAAAGTAAGGGTATTTTTAAAAATTATACTAAAAGGTGGTTTGACTAAATTGACCTCTCAATTATTTCAGAATCCCACCAGTTTAAAAAAAAAAAAAGACAAAACATAATAACAGGAAAATGACATGATCAGATGACTCTAATCATCAGTTTTGTTCTAAATGCCTGAAAGTGATATGGTTTGAAAACTGAACTGAGTTGGAAGGAGAGGGCCTGGATTCTGGTACTGCCCCAGTCACCAATGAACTTAACCAATCCTCCCTCGCTAACAGGAAACTGAGCTTCCCAGGCTGTCTGGGAAGAGTTTGACCAGACGATCTCTAAAAACCTGAACAATTTCCAAGATCCTGTGATTATAAGTGACCAAATCCAGTCACTTAATTACTACTCCTGGGAGGGTCAGACACCATTTGCCTAGTTTGACATGAGGTTTATGGCGAGGCAGTTGATGATTTTAAAAGCTAGTGATCTCCCAAACACCTGCTGAGAGTGTGTTTCTAAATATGGAGGGTCTGAAGACTTTGCTTCTGGTTAAGCTGACTGCAGCCACTAGAGCCCAGCTCTCAGCAAAGCAAAGGCAAGCTAAACTAATCAGAGTCCCTCCAGAATGGAAGGATTGAACCAGTGCCCTAGTGGGTCCCAACTGACTCAATACCGAAAAAAGAAAAAAAAGAATATTACAAGAGATTCAGAATGAATGCTGAGTTGTGAAAGCCAAAGGCTAACCAAATAGCCTCAGGACTTACTGAAACCCTGCTCTCAAATTTTGCTTCAAGCACTGGTCCTTGAGTTTGCACTACAGGTGTCACTGACTTTCTTTGAGGACTAGAAGCAACTAAGAAATTAAGTCAATGGAAATTAAGTAAACATCAGCTGAGGGAAAGGGAAGATTCGAAATAAATAAGATACATTCGGTACAGAATCCAGAAGGAATCTTGTGTGATCTCTCCTGCAGGAGAAGTCGGCATTTGGAAACCACAGGAGGTGGGGATCAAAGCCGCTCGCTGTCCAGCCACCTGCCCAGAAACTGCCCGAGCACCGGCCCAGCACCGCCGGGGCAGGTGGGCATGTGTCTTTCCCCAACACAACGGGCGCTCCGAGGGACCAAGCTATGGTGGCGGGCTCCCTGTGCGTCGCCGGGCAGCCAAGGGAGCGCCCTCTGCCACCTCCACCCAGCCCAGCCCTAGAGCCTGCCGCCCGGCCGCGAAGGATGCCCGGATCACCTGAGCCACCGCGTCCTGACAGCGGACAGAGGGTGTGCCAGTGGGCTCCCGGGCCGGCGCGCTGGGGATCCTGGTGCCAGAGCGACCGCCGGGAGACTGCGCCCCGGCCGCCCGGCGGGCCAGCCTCCAGCCCTCCGCAGCCCGCCCAGTAAGTGCAGATCCCCCCTCTCCTCCCGGCCGCTCCGCTCGCTCACCTCGCGTGGACCGCTGCAGCCCGGACGGTGGCGTGCGGACATGCCCCCGGGGTGCACCCACCGTGCCGCGTCCCCGCGCGGTGGCCCCTTCCCGGGCCCCAGGCGCCGCGGTCCGCGCTCCCGAGGGGCGGGGAGCGGACGCGGCGGAGGCGCCGGCTGGGCTGGGGGCCCCACGGGCAGCGCGGGAGGCGGATAGCGTGGCGGGCAAAATCCCCGCGCTCAGCCTGCGAAATGCAGCACAGTTCAACGCCCCCAGCTCCGCCGTGGACTCTGGCCGGCGGGTGAATGGGATTTATCCCGGGATCCGCTCTACGGGCCGCGGCTTGGCGAGGGGTGAGGGGCCGCCTCGCGGTTATGTAATGGACCTGCCCGCTCTGACCCGAGCCACCTCGCTCCGGACTGCCCGACCCTCCCCGGGAACGGTGGTGCGTTGCCCCTGACCTAGCAGGCAGGCAGAGGGGGCTCGGTGTTCTCCAAAAGAACTTTCCCCTGCAGGGTCAAAGTGCAAGCTCCGCTTCAGGAATCCAAGGACTCCCTGAGGTGTACGCGGCAGGGATCTCTGCCCGTGCAGCCCGTCCATTTCACAGCACAGAAAACTGAGGCTCCGACGTGTTTAAAGCGCTGTTTCTTCGAGTTGAAGGACCTAGATTCAACTCTCCCGAAAAGCCGTGACCGTAGGCAAGTTACGCAAACCTCCGAGTTCAGTGTCTCCACCTGTAAAACGACGATAATAGTGTCCACTTCCTGTGCTTGATGAGAGGACAAAATCAATGAGGCGCAGGATCCCGGTATGTAACACACCCCAGTAAAAGTTAATGCTGTTGCTCATGCTAAGGTTCGCCCCCTCCGCCAATGTCGCCCTAAAGTCGGCTGTCCCACGGGCCTGACTAAGGAGCTGCCCCAGGGACCTTCCCGTAAATCCCACTTCTTGTCAGGAGCGAAGTCTCTGAACTGAGGAGGTCCGATTCCAACTTCTTGGGGTCTACATGCTTGCCGTTCCACAAAGCATCAGCGTCATCTGGGACCTTGCTAGAAATGCAGAATTGCAGGTCCAACCCCAGAGCCACTTATAACAAGAATCCCTAGGTGATTTAGTCGGTGGTACTTCAGAGTTTCACAATGAGTCCGACTTTTTGGAAAGTTTGAGAAGGGGACTAGAAAGTTGTGATGCAGTGGCCACAGGATACCTTAGGGTATTTTTAAAAACAGAGCGCCAAAGTCCTTCCTCCTATTACATCTGGCTATTTTGTTTCTTCCCCTCTCCTCAGTTTCCTGCTCTTTATAAATCTGGATGAGCTAGCTCTTTTCACTTGTAAAAGAAAGCTCTAAGTTACCTGAAAGTAAAGACTAGTGAAGATGCCTTGAAGGCACACTAGAGGGACTTCCCTGGTGGTCCAGTGGTTAAGACTCCCCTTCCAACCCGGGGAGTAGGAGTTCCATTCCACACGCCCTTCAAAACTAGCAAACAAAAAATGCAGCAGAATTTGCAAATAGGACTTGTAAAAGAATTCATTAGCATTGAATATGGACTTAAAATGTTGAGGCTGCGGGGAGCCCTGAGCTTTCAACTGTGAAGGTCTTTTGGTTAAAGGCTGGGGTACTTTTTGGTTCAGAAAAATACTTTTCTTAGTTAAACATTGCTTTGGGTGGCTGAGAAGCCCCATTTTCCACTAATGTAGGATAAACAGTTGTTTTTAAAAGTTTTGAAGAAGAGGAAGAAAGCTCACAGGCTTTCTTCCATTTCACTTGTCATAGAGGCCCTAGAAAAGCCAAGGGCCGTTCTTTTATTTATGTCATGAAATGTTGGTTGGTTATGTTTGCTTGTTCAGGTTTATCTCTGGTGATCCTATCTCTGACAGAATGATTTTCATCTTTTGAGAGGTGAGATTGGTGGATTATTGATGATGGCGCTGATAGAGAAGGGGTCACTCCCATCTGCCTCCAGGGCTGGTTCCGAGGGGTGGGTGATGTGGAGGTGGAGTTGGAGAAGATGGAAAGAGGAAAGGATTCTCCTTTCCGTGAGGCCGGAGGAGCTGGGAAGGAGGGGGACAAACCCCTCTCCTTGCCTTGGAATCTAATGAAGAAAGAAGGGGAAAATGCAGTGTTTAAGATCTCTTAAAGAGTGCTATCCAATAGAATTTTCTGTAATGGTGGAAATGTTCTGCGTCTGTACAGTCCAAAATGGCTATGAAATGTGGCTTTGTTGTTAGTTGCTAAGTTTGAGGCCCTATGGACTCCCCCCTGGACTGTCTGTGGGATATCCCAGGCAAGAATACTGGAGTGAGTTGCCGTTTTCTTCTCCGGGGGATCTTCCTGGACCAGGGATGGAACCTTTCATCTCCTGAATTAGCAGGTGGTTTCTTTACCATTGAGCCACCAGGGAAGCCCTAAGTGTAGTTATTTACATTTAAATTTTAATCAAAATTCAAGTTTTTTGTGTTTGTTTCAAGTTGCTATTCCGTTGCAGCAATCACATTTTGAGCTCTACACCAATGTGTAGCTAGTACCACACTGGACAGCATATCTAACATTTCCTTCATCACAGGAAGTTCTGTTGGACAGTGGTGCCTAGAGGCCAGGATTTTGGTGAGGAGGTGAACCCAGGTATTTCACCTTTTCCAAATTCTAGTCAGAATCTCATCTGTCCTCTGGCAAGTGAAGGAACTGATCATTAAACCTCAGCCATTGAGTCCTTGTGAGAGTCAAACTGGAATAATCCATAGAATGTGTTGGTTGCCATGCCCTGCACATAGTAAATGTGCAAAAAGTCTTAACCAGTATTAATAGTTATATCACAGTTTTTAAAGTTGGGCGGACACGGCACTACAGTTACATTGTTATCAGTTAAGTGATCTTTTGCTGATGTGGTCAGCTACTCTGGTCCTTCACTGACCATCTATAGCTGTGCTCCAACCCCCTCCTCTAGCTTCTTCCTCCCCTTTGTGAGCTGGTCACTACCTGTGCTCTTTTGGCCTGGAGGCACAGCCTACTTGGTCAAATCCCTACCATTCGTGCCCAGTAAATAACAAATGTGTGAACTAAATCACATTGTACCATGGTTCAGGGGAACCGATTGGCAAATGAGATTCTCAGAAGCGTGACACCTTAGGGTACATCCATTATAGAAGGAATTGTTTGTTCCTGTTATTTGGTCAAACAAGGATGTGTGGACTCAGCAGAGAGAAACGAGAACATTGGCTCCAGATAAGTAATATTTGGGGTGTCCACGTCAGGCTGGAAGCTACCAGGAGGTTGGAGGTGGAGGGGGATGGAAACATGAAGCTTTTATCTAAATAGGATTTGAAAGTTTATTTCCATGGCTGAAAATGATTCCAAGGATAAACTGTAAACAGCATAAAAAAGATGCAAGTATTTTATGCTGCCAGGTATGCAAATGGGGGCAGTGCACAGAATGGGAAATCGTGAAATTCTTCGCAGAACACCAGGAAACAGCTTTCTGAATAACCTTCTTCTCAAATTCTTGTTCTTTGACTTCTTTAATAAGATCACATCCTGTGGGCACCTTTCAGATTCCACTTTGTGTTTTGTCTTCCTTGGTTCCTGTTCCATCACATCACTTCTTCTGAAAGTTTTAGAATTCAGCCTCTATTTCCCTGCTTTTCTTCCTTCACCCAAATCCTTATCCCTGCCTTGTCGTGACAGTGACTGAACACCTGCCTGTCAGAGGCAGTGCATTCCCAGTTCTGACCTCTCTCTGAGCCCCCAGGCCCCCAGTGGATATTGTCACCTAAATCTTCCCCGCCCCATCACTTCAAATGTTAACCTCTCAGGAACTTGCTAGCTGGGTGACCTTGGGTAAGATAAATAACAACTCCAAACTTCAGTTTCTTCATTTATGAAACAGCAAAATAGCACCTTCCTTCTAGGACTATCTCGAAGGTTAAATGAGACATACATAAAAAAATAAAAATTAAAAAAAAATGAGACATATGTGTGAGTGCCTAGCACAGTAGCTAATGTGTTGTTGTTTTTGTTGTTTTAGACCCAAAATCATGTACAACTCATTGTGACCCCATGGACCTTAGCCCACCAGGCTTCTCTGTCCATGGGACTTCCCAGGCAACAATCCTGGAATGGGTTGCCATTTCCTTTCTCAAGGGGTCTTCCTGTTTTGGCAGGCGGTTTCTTTACCACTGAGCCCCCTGGGAAGCCAGCTAATGCATAGTAAGTACTTAATCCACGTTAGCAGAATGATTCTCAGTAGCTAAGATATGGAAACAAACTTTGTGTCTGTTGATGGATTAATGGATAAAGAAAATGTGATAACTGTTTATAATAGCCAGGACATGGAAGCAACCTAGATGCCCATCAGCAGACGAATGGATGAGGAAGCTGTGTGGGGACCGGGATGGGGAATACATGTAAATCCATGGCTAATTCATTTCAATGTATGACAAAAACCACTGCAATGATGTAAAGTAATTAGCCTCCAACTAATAAAAATAAATGGAAGAATAAAAAAAGAAAAGAAAATGTGATAAATATATATTATTGACATAATAAAGAAGATCCTGCCTCTTGCAACTATATGGTTGAACCTGGAAGACAATTTGCTATATGAGGAAGCCAGACACAGAAAGACAAATACTGTATAATCTCACTTACATGTGGAGTCTAAAAAATTTAAGTTCATAGAAGCAGCGAATAGAACTGTAGTTGCCAAGGCCTGGGTGCCATGGGAAGTGGGGAGATATTGGCCAAATGGCATCAACTTTTAGTTATAAGATGAATGAATTCTGAGGATCTAATGTACAGCGTGGTGGTTATAGTTCACAATACTGTATTTTATAATGAAATTTGCAAAGTGAGTAGATTGTAAATGTTTTCTCCACACACACACCAAAAAAAGGTAATTGTGTTATATGCTAGTGGTTTTAGTTAGCTTGATTGTGGTAATTGTTTCACAGTGTATACATATATCAAATCATCATGTTGTATGCTTTATGTTTAATTTTTATTTGTCAATTATACCTCAATATGTTGAGGGGGGTAATTAAAAATAAAATAAATGTTAGCTGAAAATACACCAAATACAAACACTCCTC